AGATAGATAGATACATTGATCGTCTTGGCCCTAGACGTTATGCTTTAGAATGTTGCAAATGTAATTTTAAACATACTTATCTGAAACTGGAGAATGAGCCCTGCTAAAGTAGGGTTAGAGTAGAGTAGAGTAGAGTAGAGTTAAATTTTGAGAAAACCTGCATAAGACAATACTGTAGAAAACGAAGGGGGTCATGTTTTAATCTTAAGCATATTTTTGGTGCATGATATGAGTTATCAATTCCTTGGAAATGATGGCCACTACTTTTTCTAATTAAATATACATATGAATAGAAAATTGCTCAGGAAGTGCAATACAGTCATATATTTAATTTCAAGAAGGGACAGTTCCCAGAAATAAGTAGAAGTGGAAATCAGAGTCTGAAGCAACCACAAATCAAGAAGGAATTTGAAGAACACATTGCTAAAAGTGAAAATGCCAGGTATTACACAGCGATTAAAAATAAATACATGCAAGGAAAAAAATTGAAGAGAAACTGAAGATGCATTTTGCTTTAGTCATAAGTAAAAGTCAAAATGTGCAGCCATTTTCTAAGCCCAAATATCTGAAGAAGATCTGATGAATTAAGTTAAATAAACACTACCATTACCTATTAATTTTTTGTGTGTTACATTCCTTTGAGAGGCCTTAAAGAAACACATACATGAAATATGTAGCATAACATTCATATCTGCATATTCATGTACTGGGTCAACTGAACTTATAGGATGGAAAGCTGGAGGTCTAAAACCTCTCCTGAAACTTTCTAGTTTCTAGTCTTCACACCCTGGCTTTGCCTCCTGTTTCAGAGTTCTTGCACTTACCTTCCAGGGAATGCCTTACCTGGTATTCTCCCCCTAACTCTGTGTAATGGGCAGTAGCAATAACCTTGAGGAACAGGAGGAAGCAACAAAAATAACAGACCAAAGAAAGTTGAATCCAAGGCAGAAATATAATTTGAGAAAGTGTCTCAGACTTGACTCTCTGTAGTTCTCTTGAAGATAAAGTGGGGTGGGGGGAGGCACATTCAGACTTGCAAGATTCTGTTACTGAAACCTTATAATAAAAATAGTATTTGCATTCGTAACTTTGGTTTCCTAGTGTGGTCTAACTCAAAGTGCTGACATCCTGATGTGCATGAGACATAGAGTTCTCATACCCTATGCTGCCTTTCTGGAGTTCAAAAGGTAAAAATAAGGAAAAAGGAATAATTTCTGTAAGATGACTGTAAGCATATAGGTGGGTGACTAGAGGTTTTAGCTCTTGCTTCTTGGGAAGTAGATCAATCATGCTGAAGGTAAACAAAATCAAAATGTTTACAAAAAGGAGATAAAATCTCTCTTTAACTTTGAACCTTAAAATATGCAGATCTAACATTGTAGAAAAGAAATTCCTGAGTTGTCTTGATCAGGGACAGCAACTAAACAGAAAATCCACCAAAATGCAAAAGGAAGAAAATGCAAAAATGCTCCAGGCAGATCACAAGATGGTGCAGGTTTGCTACATATAGGAATTTCTATTTTTAGTAAGAGTTCAATTTATTACAGCTAAGAAGAAGATGACCATAAATACAAATAATATCTGTATGCTTAGCCAGAATAATGAACAAAGGCTGTATTAGACAAAACAGACTAACTTGTACAGAGAAATAATAATAAAACAGAATATAAAGAAACAGTCTAACACAAATCCTGGCTAGAACATTTCTCTTTCCACTAAAATAGCAATATCTTTTGAAGAAAATCCCATCTTTCCTTTTACCTTCCTTTTTCCTGGAAATTGTATCTTTAGTCTGAAGCTCTGAAGGACAACATTAGTCCCCTCTTTTTCCAACCTCCACCCAGCAAGCATGCAAAGCTTCTGCTTTCAGATAGGGAAAGGCTGGGGTATCTCTTTGTACCTACATGACAAAGAGCCTCTCTCCCTTGTGAAGATGTGGATTCTAAGTCTACAGTCTGCATGAGGGGATGTGTAGTGGGAATGTCTGTGATGGAATGGAATGAGAGAAGTCAAGGACAGAGGCATCTCCTCAGCCCCCAGCGTGAGCATGGGAAAGTGAAGAAGATGAGACTGGCACCACCCTAAGGAAT